TCCATATACTCGCCAGAAGTAATAATTATATGTAATACATCATTAACTAATCAAAGAAGCGTATTAAATAATGTAGGGGAGTAGGCTACATTACACAATATTACCATCTAAACCTACTACGAAACAATTAAATACAACTAGGGACTATTTCTAAATCACAAGATCAGAAACAAGACAAACATCCTGGTACAATCGAATCTTCTATAAAAAATACTTGATATTTAAAGCAAAAAAGTAAACACAATATAATATGAATAAATCGGAATACCAGACATCATCAGAAGATCAGACCGAATAAAGTCATGCCAAACAGCGAAATTTTACGACGATAAATAAAGAGTTATACATGTATCAGAAGGAAGAACAAAGAACCTTCTCTTAAAACTTAAAAAAAAATTCAAACCAAAATATTTACTTGCCACGGCAGTATGACATATACTAGGCAAGTTGTGGGCATATAAAGAACACAAAAACTCTGCCAACGGCAAGGTTGGTGGCATATCAATATAACTAGAAAAGATAATTAAATGGCATATAAGCTTGGCCAAGAAACTCTGTGGCGATGCCGAGATGATGTTAGACTGCCACGAATGAGCTCAGACACCTACTAACCAGAAAAACACTCCAACACGAAACTAATGAATCTGTTAAACTAAAAACATAGAAAAAACTCTAATTATTAATCTTAATAATAAATTAATCACAACATTTTTCGTTTATAATTTTTAAGAATTGGCGTTAATCTTTTTTTAAGAATTAGTATATTTTATAAGGTCTACCAACCACACCAACCATGATACAATGGTTTATGTCGAGTAAAATGTGTACTAACAGAGGCGGGGTGATTCTGTGTGGAAACAACGGGGACAGAGCTTGGCCTTGCTGTCAGACGATCAGCTGTGCAGCGTCATCACAAACGGACGATCGCTTCACGTGAATGCTCCGGAGGAAAGGAAAAAAAAACCATCCACATTGCTCTTAAAACCTCATTTCCGCTGGCCCTTTCTCACTTCGGTTAAATGGAATCCTTGCGTCCCTCACTTGCGTCCCGTTTTCCACTGCCGACTAGTCCCCTCCCACCAAGGAGCATGGAGAGACTGCAAGGAAACCACCGAAGAAGCATGCGGAACATTAGTTTTTAAGAGCAATGGGACGTCCTTTCCTCCGGACGTCACGTGAAAACGACGTCCATTTGTGACACGCGCTGCACAGCTGATCGTCTGACAGCAGCCAGGGAAAGCACGTTGTTTCCACCACACACCCCGCCTCTGTTAGTACACATTTACTGACACAAACATTTGTAGTCCATCTGTTGTAGACCCAAATAAATAAAATCAAAGAACACGCCATTCTTAAATGTAATAAACGAACATTAGTTGGGATTAACATATTGATTAGAATGCACAACAGAAATAAAACCAATTGCAGCAGAACGAAAAAGAGCGATATGTTATCTATCAAAACCCAGTTAGATAAAATTCCATCTGGCATTGCAACACTTTTTTGTTTGTTTGGATATGCTAGCAATTAACATTTTAAATAGCCAATTAAATGACTGCGACTCAATGGAAATGACAATAAATGAAAATGTAAAACGAATAAAGCGATCATCGAAAATGTTTACCAAAAATGAATAAAATGATTTTTGACCACTTGGTTGTTCAGATATATCACATATTTGTAACTAAATTATACATTAATTGAAACAAAACACTGTATAAACTGAGGAGTGACTCCCGTGAGGTTCATGTATTTTCTTCACTCCGCTGGGAAACTGCTCTCATGTCAAGAAGCATCAGATCAGTGCATGCGCTGCATCGTCCAATCAGTGAGCGATACACAGTAAGGGGCTGGGCGAGTGTCTGAGGATTTCATCGGAGGATGGTCTGATGGTTCCACGGTTATCGGTCCTCAATTATCGCTCCTTGATCCTCAGTCCTCCGGCAAAAATAAGGCCATTGGGACGCTATACAAGATGGCGCAGACAAATCAACTTCT